ATGCTATGACCAATAGAATTGACAATAATTCTCACGTTATCTTTTTAGTTGAATAACCAAGGCAAATGTGCCAAGTCTTGTTGACATCAAGAGAGAGAATTATTTGTACTCAACATTGGATACAGGTTATGTATGTGTAGTCAAATCGAACTGAGGATGTTTTGTTTAAGTATTGGCATATCCGTTGTTAAGAAAAAATACTCATCTTAGTTATCATCTTGGGGTTTCCATATGAAAATCACATTGACGAATATCTCTATAATTTTAACTGGGTACATTATGAAATCAGAATACAAGAATGGATTCATAATTATTATTTGAGTACCAATAGGGAGTATGATAGTAGCACGACCAAAGCCCACTATCATGACATCGCATCAAGCGATTAACAAAATATTTTCTTGTCTCTATGTAAGAGTTTAGGAATATTTTGCTTCCATATATATAGAGTTTGTGGTGCAACTATCCACTAGGCAAAATTCCTCTTTGCATTTGGATTGACTCCCGTATAAGTCTATATATAGCATGAAGAATATAATGACATTCTTTGCAGATATATAGATTACATACAAGTTAATTAATGGAATATCAAATGTGATGGCACATTATTGTGATATTCAATTGAAATTGGTGACAACATTTTATATTACAGCACCAAAATGGGACGTAGATACTAGGTATCTTTGTAAATGAGAGACAAATTTTGGTCTCCAAAATGGATCAAGCGAAGTAAATTCGATGATCGTGCTCTCCATGCTCATAAGACCCACTTATTCATTAAGTGTTTGGTTGCTACTTGGTTTCTTCATGAAACTTGTTGTGAACAACTAGCCTTCCCGGTTGTGTCAAGTTGAAGATAGAAGCGTGCTTCATATCTTTATTGTTGAGCCGGATATTTATGTCCAATGAATTTGTAATACCAATCAATTAAATGTTTCAAGGCATGACATTTCCAAGTTGTGTGGCTATAACATACACAATTGGGACAAAATATGGTTCTCATATTTGAAAAATGCCTTGACCCTAAGGAATGCACGGGCTGGTACTTCTTTTTATGCTTGAATCTTACCATTAAAATTCTTTGGATGACATTATTACATGGCATCGAACTTGTTATGATTTTGAAAATTCAATGTACTTCATATGATAGAGCATCACTATAATGCTAATGATGATTCCTCGATAAGAGTTTATCATACACTTAAACCTCAAGTAATGTAGGAATTAATCTAGAATACATTTGGTAAGTTGTGGCCAATCGAGATGGCATTGAGCATAATGACTGCCTTGTGTTGTTCATATCGCTCATTGAGAGCTAGCCATATAGTGGTTCGATTTGCATCCGTTGAGATACACATATGTGTGATCTGGATGTGTATAGTGCTTAATTTAAATAAAACTCCATACTTAGTTGTTCAGTAAGCGGTGATGCTCTCTTACTAGGAGCACCAAGTATATTTTGTTATGAATCCATAGAACAATAAAGTTAAACTTTACGTCCATTGGTCATGTTGGATAATGGTGATGATCAATAGTGAGATATCAAACTCTTTCATGTCCATTATTCCAACTAGGTGCAAACCATAGATTTTCTTAATTTACTTTTAAGGGTAAATTAAAATTGCTATGGTAGTGTTGTAATGGGATGCAAAATAAAGACAAGATAAATCGTGTATTAATAATAGTGTAAAAATCTCATATGCATAATATCATAATAATGGAGGTAGTCACCATAAAGGTGTAGACCTCAAATTGGGCATAATCTATGTTAACATTAGATGCCAAGTTATTTTCTACAAGTTGTATGAACACGTCTTAAGATAATCATCAAAGATTTGATGTAGACCTTAGTTAATTCGCAAACGAATTGGGTACTCACGTTGAGGATACTCACTAAGTTGTGGACTTAGTGTAGATCCTATAGTAGCAACTATGGTGCTACCTTGTGGATGGCCAATAGGAATGTGAACTAATGGTAGTCATCTTTGTGAAAAGATATAGACCATATGTTCTAATTTGTTATGTTGGGTATGCACATTGAGGATAGTCAATAAGTGTTTACTTAGTGTAGATCCCGCAGTAGTAACTTTGGTGCTACCTTGTGTATGGACAACAAACAAATATAGAACATGCGCATTATACAATTGATGAGAAAATACACATAAAAAATTGCATCCATAATTTAAGCACGTATTGCTTTAAAATTGAAAAGCTTAAATGGGCTTAAATCAAATGATCGATTGCATATTAAATAAATGAATTGCAAGATCATGGTTGTAATAGTAAGGATACTTGTTTATTGGATGTGCCATACAATGGGACAAATACTTTGAACAGTACCATAAATAGACATTTTACAGTAGTAAAACATCACATGTACAATATTTGTTAAAGTCAGCGGCCTAAACAAATAGTACTTACACATAGAATAACTATGTAGTTTGCTGCAGAGAATTATTAGAGACAAATAGCCTTATGCGAATTCTTTGCAAATAAATAAAAAAAAGATAAGTAGCAGGCTTGCCGGCCGTCAGGACCATTTAGCATGGATGTTGTACGAGCATGCTGCATGCCATCCAAGCAAAACAATCCGATAAGAACAAGTGGTAGAAACTGCCTCTCGCTTGAAGCCATCGCTATCGCTATCGCAGCCTGCAGAAACACCACCGCCATCGCCTTGGAGGAGGCCGCTGCAGTCCCGAATCGCACCGTTATCGACGGATTCAAGCAGCTGGACAGCGCCCTCCTCCCTCGAGATGCTCAGGCTGGCTAGGGGCGCCGCCTCAACCTCGTCGAAGGAGAGGTGCCCAGCGCCGCCGCTTCTCGCTTGACCCAAAGAATGCCGTTGGGGAGGCCGCGCGCCGATAGTCCGTGAGGGACGCGAGCCAAGTCCGCCGCAGGCCGGGCGGCCGGTTGGTGGCTTCACCGGCGTGGACGCGGCATGGAATCGGCGCAGCATCGGCAGGGCGGAGGAGGCAGGGCGCCGCCGAGGCGCTGCTGCTCAAAAACTTCACCACAGCGAGGCGGGCAGCACGTCGGGCTGAGCGGCGTGCACCGCCGCTGCTGGTGGGGAGCGGCCCGTGGCCTCCTCAAACCCGCCACGGTGAAGGACGGAGTCGGCGCCGGCTCGACCTCCATCGGCTCAGGGGCGGCCCAGTTAGAGGGGCCGGCGACTTCAGGTGCAGGAGGTGGGCAGGGGTCGTGGCCATGTTCGACGCAGAACCGCGGCAGCCACGGCGGACATGGTCCCGGTCCGTGATCGGTTCAGATGGATCCCGTTGGTGGCACAGGGGCCACTGGAGCAGCGGTAGCATGATGATGACGTCCACCACGCCACCGACTCGCATTCGAAGCCCTTGTCCTCTTCCCCGGCGTTCACCGAGAAGATAACGGGAGGTGTCAAGGAGTTCGGCGCGAATCATGCGATGGTTGAACGGGAGCCCCATGTTGACGGCGCGGTGGAAGATAAGTCGACGATCAAACTCGCCGGAGGTACGTAGCGCAGAGGCGGCAGCGTACCTTCGAATCTTCTTCTGGAACTTCCTTCTTCTCGTTCCTGAGAGCGAGGTGCTGATAACGTGCTAGAAGTGAAGGTAAATGAACAAGATTGGGAGAACCGTTGCTTTCATCGATCTCTGAAATATATTTATACGAGTGAATGGGTGTCACGACTGTTTCCAAAAGACATGCCCTTTAAGAATAAAACTAACTATCTAATCATATCCACTAATCCTATGCTTCATGGATGAAATCACTAATGAAGAGACGTGTCTAATCCTATCAACTAATCATGTGCTTGATAGATGAGATCACTCATGAAGAGACGCTTGTTCACCTGTAGACGCCTGTTCGCATAAAGGTGTCACGACACTCCAAATACAAATACAGGCCAGCTCTCGCATAAAGTTTCAAGAAAAATGCCATGATATGGAAATAGTAGGATATCCTATTTAAAGTAATCAAGGGCTTGATGGATAAGATCACTAATGAAGAGACGTGTCTAATCCTATCTACTAATCATGTGCTTGAGAGATGAGATCACTCATGAAGAGACGCTTGTTCGTCTGTAGACGCCTGTTCGTGTAAAGGTGTCACGACACTCCAAATACAAATACAGGCCAGCTCTCGCATAAAGTTTCAAGAAAAATGCCATCACATGGAAATAGTAGGATATCCTATTTAAAGTAATCAAGGGCTTAAATATGTTGAGACAAAGGAATATACTAAAACAACAATCTATTCGATTTTCGAAAGCAGATACATCGTTTCGAAGTTTCCCTATGGCAATAATTCGAAACGGTAAACTTAGCTGCGTGCTGACCAATATACCAAAATCTGAACGTACAGCAACTGAATAAAGAGTGATAGGCCTAAAATATACATTTAGCACACAGGAAGAATTAGGATCGTGAATCATGCCGAAACAACAGCCACCATGCCAGCCATTTTATAATTTAAAGTAAGCAAGCCACCGCACTGCAGCTATAATTTCTGCACTGTTCATGTCAAACACAAACTCATCAAATAGGATCAGAAATAAATAGATCAGGCAACGCACTGGAAACAATATTACTTATCACAGTTGAGTTCAGGTTTGCACGTAATAGTTAATACTTGCACGGGAACCACTGACAAGTTGCACTCCAGCACGCATTAGTCCAAACTTAAACAAGAGATATAGGAGCAGATTGACTAGGCACAAGATGGACTCTAGAAAACACCAGGGCAGTCACATTCAGAAGCTTCCAAGCACAGCACGTCAGCACCAAATTTTTATGTAGGTCACCAGCAACCTGCCAAGAGAATTTACGTAAGACTTGGTTTGCAGTGAGAAAACATATGATGCAGCATACAAACATTATACATGCAGGATAGTGCCCTAAAGAAGACCGAAAACATTTACTGACCATGAACACCATCAAAAGAGCATAATCGACAGAACTAATGGTTCTTGCTGCCATCTGCGTATAGAAAGAGTTGGGGACAGTGGCATCAGTAGGTTATATAGTTATGTAATTTGGGGAAAATTTAGAAGGCACAATAATAAGTTTAGTTTCAGGGCACAGACCTAGCATTGAAGGCTTAAGGAAATGCTCGTCTTCAGGAAACATCTGAAGATTTTTTGACTTCAGCAAGAACCCAACAGCAGCGTCTTCGAAATCCAGTAAGCTGCCAAACTTAATAAGCTCCGTGAGCGAAGGGATCTGATCCGCCATCTCAAAGAGCAGGCCTTGAGATATCTCCTCTGCGAAGTAGGTCGCAAACTCAATCTTTTCTTTGAAGCTGGGCTCGCCATCGCTACTCTGCATGTACAGCTTGGAATCCTCCCTTTCCCACCTAAGCATTCGGCTGGACTTCACATCCACAACCTCTCCAGATGACAATCTTACACTATACCCCACTGTGATTGGTTCATCACTCTCTTGGACAGTCACATTCAGAAGGCAAGAAACCATCCTGTGCCTCTCTTCAGCAGGAATGTCGAGAGCAGGATCAGCAAGGAATGAGAGAATTATTTTGAGTAGACCAACCTTGATCACCTTACTTGGATCAGTTGTTCTGAAATGGTAATTGTCTAAGGTGAAGGCATCATTCTTGGTGACTGCCTTGGATATTCTTTGAACACCGATGCTATCATAGATGCAGTTAAGGCTTGCTCGAGACATGGAAGGTAGGATAGAAGCAGGATACCAGATAAAAAATGAATGCTGAGCTAGCTTGCTGAACAAGTCTGTAAGTAGTAGATCATCAGGAATGAACACATCCTCCTTCTTTGATAAAATGATCTTTCCGTCAGTACACACAGGAACTTTGACACAACCAGAAAGAAGTTTCTGGGTGTTTTTGCTCCAGTTTGTCGCAATGAATTTCCAGAAAGCAGAGCAATCAGACACAGCTATCTCGTGGACGGATTTCTCCCATGTGACCCATAGTCTGCAGTAATCTTCAGAACCAGGCCCGTTCCTCACGTCCAAATAGTACAAAAAGAAGTCAAACAACTTTTTGTCATAATATTTGTCCAGGACATGAAGCTGCAGGCCAAAAAGATTGTTCCGATCATGAAGAACACAGCTTCTTGGGGTCACCCATTCTCCACCATCCATTTCGTTTGGTATCCAAATCCAATTGCTATTTTTATTTTTAGGCACCCAATTGCTCTCCATCAGGTATGAGTAGATCCGAGAAATGGTAATCCTATCATTGTGGCTCCTCAGATGCCGAGCAACAAGATCTTTTCCATGTTTGATATCCACAGTTACTCCGATTCTTGTAAGAGCATCTTTCAATGAGGCTATCTCTGAACCATAGAATGCTTCATCTATGAAAGGTCCATCTTCCATGCAGATAGAAGACTGTGTAGGATCAAAGAGGATACAATCATTAGGACACTGATATCCCATGGATGTCTTCAACCACTTCTTGCACAAATTTTCCTGGAAGCCCTTAGGAGGTCCAGCTGCAAGGGTGAAGTAGCTCTTGATGCACCCAAGCAGTGACAAGATTGTAGCTTTGGACAACTTGGAAGGGTCACTGGGAATGCTGATGCCTGTGATGACGAATCTAGCACCTTGTTTTAATTCAACAGTAACACCCAACTTCTTCAGTTCATCTTTGTAGCCATGTATCTCCATTCCTAAACCATAACAAGAGTCACCATCATCTATGAATGGTAAATTTGCTATTGGAGACAAAGGTTCCCATGCATCATCAAATAGAATTGCATCTGAAGGAGATCGGAATCCCAGTGAGGTGTGCAGCCACTTTTCAGTACGCATAGCGTTGAAAAGCTCAACTGGAATTAGGTCATGTGTTGCCAGTTGACGATATGATCCTAGTAGAGCCAGGAGATCTGCTTTTTCAAGCGATGAATTCAACACCTTCTGCTTGAAAATATGGGTTATAGCCTTTGATGCCTCATCGAATCTTGTGATCAACCCAGTCTTCTTCAATTCTTCTTTGTATGAACTGATCACACTGCCATAAAATCCATAATCAATAACAGGAACCCCATTAAAGACCTTTAGAAGGCACTCCCATTCAGGGTCCACAAGAAAGGACATGTTAGGAGCATGAAATCCCACAATTGTCTTCAACCATTTCAAATCTTTGAGCTTCCTTACAAAATCATCACATGAACCCACATAACGGATGCACTTGAGGATTAATACAGTAGCCTCAGAAGTAATATCATCAGAACTGAACTTGAAGTTGTCAATAACAAGCTGGTAATTGTCTTTGAACCCCACAATAACACCAAGTAATTCCAGCTCGGGTTTATATTCAAGGATGGCCGCACCGTGAGGACAGAACATCAACGAATGGTTGGTTACTGATACATGATGCCACTGCCCAATCTGAATCATAGATGATACAATCAGCAGGACGCCTGTAGCCAAGAGTACTCTTCATCCATCGTCCCTCTTTGACACTCTTGATCAGTTCACTCGGAGATAGAAACTTTTCTCGTAGAAACCGAATAAGCCAAGCAGTGTGTACACATTCTCTCTGGTCAGCGAATTGCCAGCAGCAATAGACATGAGACGACTTCCGATGTAAGCTGAAGCTTCCTGGAATTCAAATCTCACGCCAATTGCCTTGAGTTCCTCTTTATACATATGTAGCTTGTTTTGATAGTGCTGTTGATCAATCATTGGTATATCAACAAAGGAAGGTCCTGTTTGCAGAAGACTCCCCAATTGGAGCTGGACAGAAATGATATATTAGGCGACTTGTACCCAGCCGACGTCTTTAGCTAACTCCTTCCTTGACACAAGTCAAGAACAGGTCTGGTAATCTCACACCATTTGACTTCAAATTCCTTATCCATTCCAGCAGCAAGAATGCATTCTCCACAGTTAGAGGTGATGAAACAGTAGGGAATCTGGCATCTGGTGGGTGTATGAATGGCACATCCGAAGCCTGCAAATTTGTCTTGAGGAATTCCAGTAGCTGGTCCTCAGAAGTGTAGTTTCCAGCAAAATGTCCTGCTGACTTGTAATCTGCTGACAATTCAATGTAGCCTTCATTCCTCCATGGGTTTGTACCCATCAAACCAACCCATTTGCTCCCCTTGGCAGGAACTATAATTCTATTTCTTTTCTTGACAACATAGCCATAGCTATCAATTACTGGCATGGTGCGGCAGAGTTCTGATAAGTGGTAGCTCTCGATGTGAAGCGTCTTGGAAGAGTGGTAAAGAAAGTGTGCGAAGGCAATGACAGCTCTTTGATCAGAACCCAAGGAATCAACAACACTTGATGCATAGCTATAGACAGAGACAACCTCCACTCTTGCATGATTCTTAAGCCAGTTTTTCACAGTTATCTTCTCCGACAAATCTTCTAGAGCTGTTTGTGTGCTGGGAGGCAGAAAGAACCGGTTAGAAGATAGAAACTCCCTGTTCCAGCTGATTAGCCATGATATGTACTTGTTTTCAGACGCAATGCACAACCTATCATTCCACTGACTAGCTCTAGATATGCTCCAGAACGAGAGAACACCACCCCTATCAACATACTTCAATAGGGGAATGGACATCATGTTTGTACCAGAAAAGTTTTGCCAATTGTCTGCAACAAAATATATAATTTCCAGATAAAGCTGTTCATGTACCTCCTTGACAAGATTTGAGCCTTCAATGCATTTTGCATACCATTCATGGTCCACATTTTTCACTTCCAGAAAGTTTAGCACACTGTCATATATACTGTTGTCAAAATGAGAGCTAAGAATATAGGTTCCATGGGTCAACAGATTCTTCAGATCCACTCCGAGTTTCCATGCTTTGTCAAGGATAGTCCAAAATGCTGGCTTCAGCCGTGCAACTTCACTGGGCTTGCAGAATATCTTCCGTGAAGCATAAGACTGACACGGAACTATAGCCTCCGCAAGGACCTTGTCTTTGATGCCAGACCTAACTGGCTCAAGCAGTGGGATCTGTGAAGAATTGACAGGTAGAAAGTTGAACATAGATGGCAGAGACATTGATGGTGATGCATCAGCTCCAGACTTTATGAGTGTCACAAAAGCATCCATGAAAGCGCTTGGGACACACTCTAGAATTCCCTTGTTCCACGGACTGTCAAACAGTATAGCCTCCCTTGACGAAGCAAGGAGGAAGTCAGCCTGAATGATGAAGGGGAAGCTTGTTACCATCTCAGTTGGGAGGAAAGCATAGATGCCAGGTGATAGCTGCTTCCCACGGGACAGACGCTCGCCATGTGGGAAGGCCAGGGTTATCACCCATTCATCAATTTCAGCACGCTTATCGACTCTGTTCTCTGGCTTTACTGGGAATTTCTGCCTCCACATATAATAACCACATTCAGCTTCATCTTTCCCGGTCTCTTCAGCAGATAAATGGATTGTGTACGACTCAGCATGCATGTTCTTCCTGGCTTGGTAGTTCTTTTCACTGGATATCGAAATCTCACTAACAGTTGTATTGCTGGGATCAGAGTTATCCTCCCGGACAGAAAGTTTCCTGATCTTTGTCAGGAACAGTAGCATTTCAGGATGCATGCTTGACAGCTGCCTCTTCACCGCATCAATCTTCTCACTCTTCAATGGTAAGATGATGATAGTTGTAGGTAGGACCTTTGAGCACCCATATAATGCTTCGATGTCAGAAAGGCTAGGTGTGGATTCCACCCACTGAGGTACAATGTACCCAATATTGCATTCTGCACAAGGTTTCTCATTGAACTTGATCTGATAGCCGTTGCTGAATATGTGGGGCTGACTTGATATCAAGAACACACTTTTGAACCCAATACCTGAATCAGAGGCAACAAAAATTAGTTGAAACTAGGCACAAATAGTAACCAGATATGCAGTACGTTATGTAATCCTTTGCAGTGAATTGGTTTTAGTAGGTAAACAGATAATGAAAAAAAATGCTACAAAGATTTGACATCTGATGAAACAAATTTGAGCAAGGTTACATTAGGCATTAGGCGTTCTCTAGGCAGTGACCCTCTTCCTCTCGCCTAACCGTTTTAAGGCGTTTTGTACAAATACATATATTATATCTAAAAGAAAAGAATAAAGCGGAACAGTGGGATTAGATTGGAAACAAAAATCCCTAATCCCCTAATCTCACGAGCAGTGCCGAATGGCCTAACATGTATCTATTGCTATAGCATATTTATATATCTACGTGCATAATTATATACCACATATATTTTAAATGGCTACGTATATCTCTTGCGTATATATCTACATTCGTAATTACATACTTATATCTTTTCCAGTTTATCCTAATCAAATTATGTCATGTCCAAAGTTGCAAAATAAAAAGATATACCACATCCAATAGATCGTGCATGCATCAATTAGATCTAAAAGGTTTTTTATATCTAAACCTTACCTATTTTATAAAAGATAAAATTAGATAAATATATATTTTACCTATTACCTCCTAGGAAATAATGGATGATCCTAACGATCTGATCTAATTAAATAAACAGCTCACAGTCATTTAAATTTAAATGCATAATATTAGCATAACTATTGTTTAATTCATATAAAAATATGTTTATCAATTTGACTAAAGTAATCCATCCCAAGTGTTTAGTTTATGAATGCTAATGCTAGCATCTCAAAACATAACATGTGTAGTTGTGTATTAAAATAATTGTCTTAAAGGCCTTACCTTAGATAGGATTACAAAATTTTGTCTAAAAACAATTACAATATTTATTTTAATGCATAATATGAGCATACGCTCTTGTACCACAATGAGGTCTCTACCACTGTAAGACATGGCAACCAAAAAAGAAATTAGAAAAGACATAGCTTTCATGTAATATTGTTTTAAATGGCGTGATCTATGATTATTTGGTCAAAACCACCTTATTGGTAGAAATTACCATAAGTTCAAAACTTGGCACGTCCATAGTAAATTCATATATCGGACATGTCTTAAAAGTTGAGATGCAAGTCCGTTCGTGTTCTAGTGCAAATGCACCTAAATTTTTGTATGAACTCTACTTTTCTACAAATCGGATGCAATATGGAGGTGCCAAGTGTCATTTTTTTAAAAAAACTATATATTTTCAAGTGGTTTCCACGATTCCACAGAATGTTTTCCCATGATATAATTGATCAGCATCATATTAAGTACTGAACATAGTTTTAGTAGCCTTTAAGTCCCAAACAAGTTGGGGTAGGCTACTGAACATAGTTTTAGTCATTCAAAATTAAAATATTGTATGATCTTTTACTGCTATCATTTGCCTGAAATAGACTCAAAAGGTCCTAACTAATTTTATCTCCATGGATGAATATTTCTTTTTCTGAATGGTGATTTAGGAAACAAAATGAATGAAAAAAACTGTGAATATTTACCTTTCTCTCCAATGTAACCCTGATGTCTGTTTCCCTTCTTTGTTGATTTCCCAACACGACAAATTGACTCTATATTGGTTGCAGAGAAACCCCTCTCATTGTTGAAGATGAGCAAAGTTGAGGATGCACCACATCCAGTAATATCCTTTGATGTAATGAGGAACTCCAAAGAAGGTGCTACTTCAGAAGGGTATTCATTATCTTCAGCGTTCTATTTTTTGAGAAAGAAAGCAAAGTATGAGAAGAAGTATTAAGATTTAAGCACAAACACACCTGCAAACTAATATAAATAAGGTGGCCACAGACAATGCCTAACTTCCAAGGATTAGTGTTTTTATTCTAAAAAAAAGGATTAGTGTTTTTGTTCGCTTCACAAGTTAAGAGGAATCAAATAAATAAAGAGGACACACAAGAAGATGAACTTTTTGTTTTACCAGTTAGTTCTGCTATTTATCATTGAAGAAAAGGATTATGACAACTACATGTCTTTTTAAATTCGACAATAATTACTGACCACATGGAAAACTTATGTAGGAAAAAATAACAAGAGCAACGGTTTAACTATGATGGCAGCCAGCTGGCCAGCCACCTCACAGAATTACTATTCACGTCCTGCCAGAACAATATTTTCCTCTCACAACAATCAGCCGGAACAGTATTTTTCAGTCCTGCCGAACAGGCTCGATAATTATATAAACTCGCAATACTGAAAAGGAGGGCTGACAAATTATGCTAACAAATAAAAGAATTCTGCTAAATCGGTGCCCAAATTCATACACACATATAGAGTAGTTATTCTTTGGCAGTTGACACCAAATTAAACAGAAATAATCTGATGGAACACAAAGGCACACAGAAAGGGCAACTCACACAGCGGTTCACAGCTAGTATGCGCACATCAATTAGCCAATTGCAGAAACTGTAGAGCATAGTAGCCTCAAGGCCCTGAACTAAGTTTCCGCTCACACAAGAACAGCGACAGCAAGAGAAACGTCAAAAGGAGATTACACCGGCCGATCGATTACCTGCACGAGCTCCATGAGGAAGTGCACGTCCTTGGAGTAGAGCTCCTGAGAGAGGTAGTTGACGGCCTGGTGCATGTCCTCCGCCAGTGGGTTCTGCTTGCCGCGCCCGATGTAGTAGCGCTCCCGCCGGATCCTCTCCACGTGCTCCCGCGGCGACGCCGGCGGCGGCATCGTCGAGGACGACGACATTTTGACGGTTCCACTTCCACTGGACTACCAAGGGGAAGGGACGCGGCGTGGGTTGCGAGAAAGTGCTGAAGGGAGAGGGAGAGGAGGGGTCTTCTTCCGGGCTTGCAGGCTGCCTTTATAACCACGGTGATTACAACGGCGGTTCTTCGAATTCTGGTGTTTCTTCATGTCAGCGGCAACTTAGCTAGCTACATTAGACTTAAAAATAAAAATTATTGTAGTCGAGAGTTATTTGAGTTGTGTGAGTTATTTCTAGGCGCACCCCGCCTCTTCTTGCCCCCTACCGCCAGCCCCCAGCGTGCCACGAGCCACATCCGCCGGCCACCGGCTCGCCACGGCCCATTCCCCTACGCCTGTGCCCTGCCACCATCACTCCCCTGTGTCCCTGACTCTCCAAACCGCATGAAACACGTGCAACATGAAATAGTTGAATGCAACATATGTTCGAAACAAATAAAACATCTGGAACATACACTTACAATATATGTGTGAAAATATATGCAACATCTAGATAGAACATTTGCAACTTGCAACAAGAAAACCCTTGTTGCAACGGAAGACTGGAACAGGTGAAACATTTGGAACATACTGTTGCAACATATGTGTAAAACATATGCAACATCCGGATCAAAACGCTTGCAACATACATTTAGAACAGATGAAACATTTTGAACAAACGCTTACAACATGCCTCTGAAACATTTGCAACATATGCAACATGAGCAACATTTCCGATCTTCTTTTGCAATATCCATAAGAAAACAACTTTAACATACCTCGAAAATGTCTAGAAACATATATTTGGAACATAGCGGATGGGGAGCGCATATGCTGGTCAATTCCGGCCGTCGGGGTGGGAGGCAGTGGCAAGCGGCAGCGCGCGAACGCCACTAGCATCTAGCAACAGCGACGCGTGCGAGCACCACCGCCACCAGTGTCACCAACACCGGGCTTGGCAATGGCAGGCGGGTGGCGCGTGTGACGGGCGGAGCGAGCACCACCAGCACCGCCGCGTGCGACGGGGGCAAGCGAGCGGCGACGGATGGGACGTGTGGCCGCAACGAGGGGATTGCATGTCCACGCTCAGGACAGGGTAGCCGCAAGGCACTGCGGCAGGGGAGGAGGAAGCAGAAGGGATATTGATGGGTGACTTTTTTCAATAAACTCGCAGGCAGAACGAGCGGCAGGGTAAAGCGCAAGCAACAAGGCGGTGGACCTGCGGGAGTGTCCAACGATTTGTGCTCGCGTCGGATGTAAGACACGTAGCATTACCACTTTTTATAAGGTGCGGTCCGACATACTAAAGTCTACCAAATTACAATTTGATTATTTATTTATTTTTACATTATATTGTTTATACTTATAAACTTATGATAATTGGATACTATATTTAATTGCAAATCTAAATGTATCAAATTTGTAATATAATAATTAAAAAAGTATTAGTCAAATTATTGTTAAAGAGTTTTAAAGTTTAATTTTTCATATATGTTTATGCCTTATAAAAGAGAATGAAGGGAATAGCGTATAACTTATCAGGGCTAATAGTATATTGCTAGGGATGTATGGAGGGAATAGCATATAACTTATCATGGCCAATAGTATACTGCTAGGGATGTATGCACCTTTTATTAGAGTGGGAACCAAACATGTGTAAGGCTAATAGTTAGATGACTAAATTTTAGCTGGTCTCGAGTAATAATTAGATTTAGCTAAACAGGTCTGGCCCATCTTGTCACTTTTAAAAATATTGTGGGAGTAGTGCTGAAATTCAAAAGTGACTGTAAATTAAAGGGTGGTTACGGTACTAAGTTTTGCAAGTATAATTTCGGAGTTAATTGATATATTGTTCTTTAAAGTCACTTCATCCCTATTATTACTATCTCGGGAGACTAAATTGACATGTCTCGAGTTTATTGGTGGACATGTGGTTTATCATCGAAAAAATATATTCCTTAATAAATTAAGTATACAGCAATATATCAGTCAAGTATCATGAAAGCTGATCAAGATTAGTACAAAGTGTCTCTCAACTTTGCTGCTACGCACCCGAGCACAAACTTTTGCTACTGCTAACATTGGTCATCAGTCGAGCAGGCAATGCAACCAGGCTCCCACATGCATATCTTCGCGGCGAAGGTTGCTTCCCTACCCAGCTACCCTACACGGCTACACATCGTTAAGCAAGGCCAGGACGGAGTCAGTCTTTCTGAGGCAGAGCGTCTCGTCTCGACTGTGAGCTGCCCAAGTGACACGACGAGAACCGTGAAACGTCTAGGTCGCTGTCACTTGTTCCTCGTCCCACCGCGTGGAAAGCTACCCCAGGACGACGCAGCTGTTTACCTGTTTGGAACTCATTGGATTAAAGGTATACAGAGTCTAGTCAATTTTGAAGAGGACCTTCCTCTTTTCAGCCTCAATTTTGGAGTGATCACTCTTTTTCCAAAAATAAAATAGGATATGGAGCAAGCCAAAAATGTAAAATTATTGCTCTGTGTCTTTAAACAACTATTTGGTCTAAAGATTAATTTTCATAACCACCAGATTTTCTGTTTTAGAGAAGCAAATATAGTTACGAGAGTAAATATACTAAACTCTTTTAGATGTGAAGTACTCCCTCCGTCCCTAAATATCTGTCCTTTTCGCTTCCCAAGAAACAACTTTGACTAAATATATAAAAAAATATTAATATTTATGGTACATAATTAATATCAATAGATAGATATTTGAATCTAGTTTTTTAATAAATATATTTGGAGATACAAATGTTGCACGTATTTTTCTACAAATTAAGTCAAACTTTCGGTATGGAAACCAACGGTGACAGTTAATTAGGGACGAAGGGAGTAAGGTCACACCCTTTCAGGTACCTATGCACATCTACAAACTTCATAATACAGATTGGAGTGTAATGGAGGAAAGATTCAAGTATAAACTAAGTACCTGGGAAGCTAAACATCTATCTTACTAGAAGCATATCCCATAAGTTGCTGTGTTGTTTTCTTAGAATAAGACCACCACATGTATGAGTTAAACTTACAATAAAAAGTTAATGAAAAAGTCCAATAAAAAGCCTAACAGAATTATATTAAATTATAAGATGTGTATGAACGACAAAACAAATAGCAACATATAGATGTCTCCTATATTTTTAATATATTAAAAGTAGTCATTGCACTTGGTGAAGATGACGTGGATAGCTTATATTAAGAGGTTGAAAGTTAGTGGGATGACATGGCTATTAGTGGGAGATGATGTGGATGGCTTGCATATTAAGATGGAACTTGTAGTGGGGATTAGCTTTCTAAGAGATTGTAAAGAAAATAGGCCCAAGGGCCATTTAGTTTGGATTTTGGTGTTTGATGATCAACATGATCATTTGGACTACTATTGTTTGCTAGTGATTTTAGATATAGTTCAAAGGATGCAAAGTGGACTTGGACTTAGGCAAAGTGGTGATCCGGATGATCAACACCTCAAGCAAGACAATTAAACACATGTTGAAACTCACAAGACATGCAAAAGTCCAAGAAACAAGATGGAATGGAACCAAGTCAGACGCAAAGATCACGAAGAAACAAGTTGAAAGAGGCTTCAGTAGGGCGTCCAACCTAGGAGGGGCGTCTAACCAAAGGAAATAGCTAACCCTAGCAGTGGCATCAGAAGGGCATCAAACCGAGCAGGGGTGTCGGATCCCTATTGGCGATGGACCAACCACTACAACTGTTCACAAAACAACGGCTGATTCATACCAGAAAGAAGCAGAAGCGTCGAACTAGTGAATGCTAGTCCGATGGCTTGCAGAGAGATTCTAGAGAGGGTTTGTGGGCGTCAGACCGGTCCGACAGTAGGCGTTAGACTATATGCCATAGAAGAACCCAACGGTCAGCAGAACGACTAGTTTCAACTGCTAGCTATGGACTGGGCGTTGGATTGGTCCGACAACCCATCATCGGATGGTCCGGTGAGTGTGCAAGTTCCAAAGGCTACATTTAGAGTTGGGGCCTATAAATAACCCCTTGGTCGAAAAAATGAGTGCGTGTAGAGCTCAAGGAAAACTTATGTGAGTTGAGGCTCATCTGAGTTGCTCTAGCCACCAAAGTGCTTAGTGATATACTCGGTGATTAGCATAGGTGCTTTGCGAAGTGCTTAGGTTAGTTAGACCACCACATTAGCACTTTCTCTAGGTTTAGGCCTAGTATTTAGTGAGGTTTACATACCTCTTACTCATAAGGTACTTGCACGCACCATTGTTGTACCCGGAGGGGCTTGTAGTCTTACGAGACCACACCAACTGCGTTTGTGGTGTGGCCACCACCGTGTACCAGAGGGAATGAGGCCTATGGCGGTTTGTCTAGAAGCTATATAGTGAAGACGACAGGTAGCGGTCTAGGAGAGGCCTTCTCGGAGATCCACTTTGCGAGTGGGAAGGCCCAGGGGCTATTGTAACAACCCCAGCCTATTAATTAGTAGCCTGTAATAGTTGTGAAGTTGGCCCAAGTGGCTCATGTGTGGTTGTGGTTGGTGGGTTTAGCACCACCTCATAAGTTTAGGAGGGTGAGGGCTAGCTTATAAGCTTTGTCTTTCCAAATGTACCCGTGGAGGGGTGTACCAAGGGGTAGTCCCAGACATCTGCCACATATATATGTGGTAAGCTGTCGAGGGTGTTAGCCCTTAAGGGGGGTGAATGTAACACCCCAGCCCATTAGCAGCATGTAGCAGGTGTGAAGTTGGCCTATGTGGCTGTTGGTATTTTTTAACTTGTCACTTGTTTTAATAGCCACCGATTATAAACCTATATCTCCTAACATTACTTTACTAGGTTGTCATCCCTAGTTATGTTGCTAGAGATACTTGTTGGTACTACCTAGCACTACTACTAGAATAATACTAAATAATTCTTTATTAATTTATGTGACTAGGAGGAATATATAGATATGAATAAAAAGGAATCTGCAAGCGCACAGATAATTATATCATTATAGCACTTCACCCGAGAG